CTCTGCCCCCATGTCACTGCAGGCCAGAGGATAGCGCCTGCTACCCCAGCCTTCAGGACGGGGTGCTGTTGTATTCGTGCACTCGCTCTTCATTGAACAGGCCTGTGAGGCTGCCTCTAGACTGGGTCTAACCCAGCCTCTCCTCTTCATTGCCTGTTTAAGCCCTTCCGGCCGGGCTAACCCAGTCTCTCCTCCGTCAAGTGAGCATAAACGTTCAAGTCCAAGGGATTCGTCGGTTTTTCCGTCGTCCTTCGCATTTTTGCCGTGAAGTAGTTGAGCGGGATGCGAGGGATTGGTGGAAAGAGCTGTGCCTCATGGCCCCCCTATGAAAACCACGCGTTCATCAACTGCCAGGAGCTTGGACGGATAATAAATGCCACACTCGCCTACCGCAGACGATTTGCTCTCACCGGACGCGTCTTGGCTTTGGAACCACTCTGGTTGTGTGGGGTTCTTAGGTGTGTACGTCAAAATATGTTGAATGGGCTGTGTCTCTTCCTTGAGGGCAATTGTTCCCCTATCTGCCCTATCTCTTTTTGGCCCAATGGTTTCTCAATTAACCTCCCATCAGCGGGTTGAGGCTGACAAGCATCGTTCGATCATGCGTGAACAAGAAATCATGCAATTTTTAAGCTATATATCCTTCTGTATGGGTCCGCAGTATTGAACGGTGCATGTTCTTCTTCACTTCCGGAGCGTTCCGCAGATAGATTCTCTGAGGCTGTCCTACAGTCTGGGAGAGTGACCACCTTGTCCTCCAGACGGACGCTGGTCAGACAGGTTCCTGGAGGGTGGAGGGCCTGAACACTAACAAGTCAGTGGCCAGTCCCACATCAGCCCGCGCAAACGACGCCCGCTCCAAGACTTGCTGAGGAAGACTTGGAGTTGCGCCGCCCCGGCTCCATGCGTGGCCGCCACGTGGGGATGCAGAGACCGGCCGCTCCGTGAGACCTCGGAGGACGAGTTGACCGAAGCCGCGGAAACGAATCAATTAGGTCAAATGATTGAAGGCCTTTCACATGAAGTGTAATCTCAAATTGGTATCTTTCATTTGATGTAACTTGGAAGAAGGAAAGAAAGGCCTAATCATGTGTAGAGCTCTTTGCAGTAGATTGGTGCAATGACAATAATGATATTCCCAAGTCCTCACAGGTTGCGCAAGGTGAGATTTTGATCAACCATTTGCAACCAATTGCGCACATCCGCCTAGGACCCAAAATCTATCCGAGTACATAGCTAAAGAAAGGCTTGACCTGGGCTTTCCTTTAGATTTCAGAGGTGGGGCACATCACCGATCATCCAGCATTGCAGAAAGACTTGTTGCCGGAGTTCAGGAAATACTTTGGACTCAGTTCGCTCCTTGTTTTGGAGCGATTGAATACGATAGTATACTATAGGCGCTTGGACCTCCGAGTGCCCATGAAGATCGGGTCTCCTCCGTGTGAAGTTCGTTGGTCATGCGCAAATGTTGATGGTTGATGGCATTTGTCATAGGTCTTATACCTTGTAATTTGTTGGGGGTAAGAAGCCAGACAAGAGACCTTTCCGGTGAATCCTAGTTACATCAGGGAGTTCAATTATAGAGCGCCACGAGTTGGTCGACCTTTAGTTTGTTTTCAACAGTACAATTACATTGGACCGTGGTGTGAGCCTGAATACATAGATAGCACCGCCATTGCACCTTGGAGCTAGTATGACCCAGCGCTGGAGCGCTTTTGGACCCGCGATTGGAGGAATCGACGCTCTCCGAAACCCGACCCCGACCCTCCTGCCACCTCCACCTCCAGCTCAGTTGGACCTGCGGAGAGCGGCGCCTTTGAACGTCGAGAGCCAGGCGCAGAGTCCAGCGCGGTGGACCCCGCGGGCGGAGGAGTCCGAGGAGCTTCGAGCGGTTGAACATGGTTGGAAGTGGCGCCAGGCCCTGAGGGTCTTCTCCGTCAGATTTAGGTGTTCCATGTCAGACAATGGTATTGTGGATTCCCGTTCGCTTGCCTTTGACCTTCCACAATAGCAAAAAGCAGCAGTGCAATTCATTGAGGACAACCCGTCGAGTCGCCCGTGCTACGAAACTTCCTCAAACAAACAGATTGTCCTGACAGGATGTCCTCGTGGTTCTTTAGATCCATCCGGTGAGTGGATGAGTGCTTGGGGGGGGGTGCTCCATGAATCGCCATAGAACTCCTGGTTTGGAGAAATGTAGAGGGCGGTGTGAGCGGACAGCTGTTTGCTCAGAATGATGAACCATTAATTATCGTTTAGACTCTAATAGCTTTGGTTACGCTTCAATTAGAGCCTTAGCCAGGTTATGACTAGGCCATTGTTACCCTAATAGCACGAGGTACCCTCAGGATTAGCATTGTGCCCGCCTGAAGCTCAAACCAGAGCATTGCGACAGCATGTTGGGTTGAAGCCGAAGCCCACCGATCCCATCATTTTTATTGACATATCAATCCCATCGGTCATGTTGGCATTGTTAAACCGATCCCACCATCATCTTTATTGTAGTTTTTCTGGTGGCACTGAACAATTAGCCATCGAAGGAAGGATTCCCTCCTATCGTTTGAGTTGGTGATTCCCAAGCGGCCCTTTGTTCAGACCGTTTTTTTGTGCGAACAACTAGGAAAAACATATTAAAAGGACAGATTTGAACCCACCCATCAAGGCATTCTGAATAGCAACGACTATCAAGGCCCTAAGCATCAGACAAACAATCCTTGAAGTCGACTTGTTTTTGGGCTGGTCTGAAGATAGGGAAGAAAAGGAGGGAGAGGTATGAAAGATGCAAAGTATAGATGGTGGGCATGTCATGGAACTTTATGCTATCATGTCTATACCGTATATACCACATTGTCTTTCGAATCTACACCCAAGTGCATTTGGCGAGACCCCAGCTGTTGCGCATTTGCGGAAGGGGGAGCATATAGGATATGAAAATAGGGAGACACAAGGGGTTTTCTGTAGTCTATTTCTACTCTTTCAGGGGTGTCGAACTGGGAGGTCTCCCTACCGTACTTCGCACGTGCAATCGCTTCGGTCAGGCGCCGACGAGCACCATGGGGAAGGGCCCGGCAGCCTGGAGGGAGGCGGATCTTTATCTTTACCCGGCATGGGTTGCCAAGGCAACCGGGGGGAACTCAGAAGGCGAGAAAAGATGCAATAGGTCATGGGTGTTCCTTTTAGGTTCACTCCTCCTGCTTCGTGAACTCGTCGGGAAAGTGACGAACAAGTCGCTGGCTGAAGTGAGGGACGCAGCACGGACGTCCTACGGACAAAGTCGAAGGACATGTCTTCGTTCAATCGCGGTTCAATCGCGTGGTATGATGTAGACTCTTGATTATATAAAACCATCAAATGAAGAAATTTTACTAAGCCAAATGGGGTTGTGAAAAAGGAATCGAGAGTCAACATGGCTTGGAATATACCGAATGCAAGCTTGTGGAGTCGTTCGGTGGCCCTGGAAGTCAAAGACTATAAATGGTTGATCTGGTTTTGTAGTGTAAAACCCTTAGTAAAACAATGGTGGTTCGGTAAAGGCTATTAAAACAATGGTGGTTTGACTTCGAGGGGTGGGATATTGCTACAAACGCAGTGACCGGGTGCGTTACATACGCAACTGTATGTACAACAGGTTCAACTCCAACAGGTGCGATGCGGGCCTTTTTCCCGCATGGTGAGAATCTTTATTACTTGATTTGTACATTACCATTTGCATCCATTTGCTCCAAGTTGGGCAGAACTTGACCAGAATAGACCTGACTTACTCAATAAGAGAGATGACCCTTCTCAGAAACTGAATGATTTGTTGTTCACTTTTGATGGAATTCCAGCACTGAGATACATGGATGGATACGCAAAAGACATACTTTGGGAGGTAGGTAAGCATCGTTTTCCTGTGAGAAGTTCTTCCTGGCGACTGAGGCGACACACCTGTTTTCTTGAGGCGACCGGTCCGGAACGGTGAACCACCCTGGTCTAGTGACGTTCGGGGAGAAGTGGACCTTGAATATTGGCCATATGGCATATTGGTGTGTATGTCTCGTCATCCTTGCTTCAGCCGTCGTGAAAATCACCGGACTCCAAGCAGTGGGCCATCGATGCGACAACTAAGGTTCTGATCTCAATGTCACACCCTCAAAGGCGGGGAGACGGCTCGGAGGGGGAGACATGACGTTGCTGGATGGTTTCAGACATTAGTTTCAAACATTCTCAACCTCTATACTTGCTCTGATTACCAATAATCCCACTCAGGTTTTTCAATTGGGTTGAAACCACCAACCGTTGAACCAGGTGGGCTTTGCTTGGTTTCGTTTGTGTGTGGTGAACTGGTTACTGGAACGTGTTTTCCATCGGGATCAAGTCATGCAGCGCATCCGGCCGCCTCGGAACCCGAGTCGGAGTCCATGGTCCCCAAGGCATTGGAGTGCTGATGGGAAAGTCTAGAAACCAGTCAGAGAAACTCACCAGCTACTTGGATTCGTCAACACCTGGCACTCAGATTCCCTTTTAACAGATACGTTCCAGGAAATCCAAATGCAAATGCAACGTCGAACCAAACATAGTGTGCATATACGCCTTTCCTGGTTTATATATTAATGGCCTTCGGCCAGGTCCGCCGCCCCAAGGAGGCTTTGGGCTGTAAGAACAAATTGGTGAGTAGCCGGATTGATCTGGTCCGGCAGGATAAGTTTAATTAGTGTTTGTCGCCGATTGACAGATGATTACTCATTGTGCTTCAAAGGGTGTGAGGTACATACAACGTGCCACAACACACGTTATTATTGCGGCGTGAGATTGATCAGTGCAATATGTCCGGCAGATACAAGTGCCTCGCCTCAAGCAACCTTCCACACGACACGCCTCGCCTCACGTGGCAGAGGGTCGGTGCATTCTCACGACAGGAAGCTGACGACAACCTCCAAGTCACCCGGATGGATCATCCGCGAATGGTGGTGCCAATTGAAACCGGCTCGGCGCTGGCAACTGAGAAAGGAAAGGGCCAGTTGGCCTAGTGGGCCTAGTGCGTAGCAGATCATTAGTAAATAGCAGTAGTTTGTTTTTTTGTTGTTTGGTCATTTTGACATTGTCATGTTGTCCATCCCTCCACGCACCAACAGTACACGCAATGTTCATATTTCAAATTTATATCAATATGTTATGTGTTTGTTTAGATTGTGTTTTGTTTATATACTCTCAATCGCCTGGAGTTGATGGATAAACACCTTGCTGAACACGTTGCTCGGCTAAGTTTAAGTCGTCCGGTTTTCATGCCTGAAACTGACAGTTTCCAATGTTGATGTCACACCTTCATGCCCAGTTACCTCACAGTTCATCATGATTATGATCCATCATTTGTCCATCATGACCTCGCCGATGTCACGCGGTCCTCGCTCTTTTTACTGCGATCGGAGTCGGGGATGGGGAAGAATTAGAGCAGGTCTTTGAGCAGTCCATGGAAGCGGGACATCCAGCCTTGGTGGAGAACATGCTTGAAACCGTGGATGCAGTGCTACAACCGGCCACTCGATTGGGTCGAATGGACGCCGTGGAGCAGGTTGGGGGAGTGTAGGGGTTTCACTTCTCTGGGGACACATAGACCTGCAGCACAGACCCCAACAAACACCCGTGACTAGGAGCGGCAGAACAAAACCCTGCAAAACTTAGGAAGGGTAGTGCTTCGATCATGTACAATGTACACCCTCACAATCTTCGTTTTTTGGCTGGGGGGAATGCTTTTTGTGTCAACTAAGTCCTAAGGCCTGGGAGTGCTGCTCGTAGTCAGGTTGGCCCCTCGTAGTTCAGTGACTTTTGCGGTTATGGTAGTCCATTCGGGTTTCCCAAATGGCAGTGGGTCAAAACCCGGAGTCCTAAAACCCTGCTATTTTTAGTGCATTCTGTGATTAACCGACCAGGGCATTCCCTGTGGCATAGCCCACAGCCGGTCCATGGAACTGGTTTACAGTGTAAAGGTAAATTTGATTCATTGCTTTTGGGTCCGTCCATGGCAACTGGTGGAGCTTCGAATTTCAATCCGTTCAGAGATGTCAGCGCCACGCCGCGGGTGCGCGTTTCGCCACGTCCATGAAGGTGATCGCCCGCAACACCTTGATCTCGCACGGCACCAAGCGAGTCCTCAAGCTGGGAGAGAAGCAGCATCCGTGTGATGAGGAAAGCATCCGTTTTTCCGTACGAAAAAAATACGGACAGAAACACCAATTTAGGGACTTTAGGGTGTGAATTTTAGGGCTTGGAGACCCCTGGGCCCAATGGTTTTGAATCTTGTTTGATTTCTCTTCCAAAGGGTCGTTGGCCTGAAAGGTCTCCTTGCTTTAATCCGCACCTTTTGTTTGCCTCATCGGTTTGACATGTTGACCCAGTTACAGTATGTTTTTGATTTCCTTGGGACAAAGCTGGAGGGAACCATACCCTTCCATACCCCTCACTGATGTTTGTTTCAACGGAAGCTCCAAGGGAGTATTACCACCCCGTGAAAAACATGTTGTATAATTCTATGTTCACTTATGACCTTTTTGGACGCCAAATCCTGCGTGTTCCTGCATTTTTGTGCCATGTCCGTTTGGTGTCCTCCTGACGTTGAGCAGCTCAGCTGCGGGTCCAGGGGTCCTACACCAAACCCTCCACCTTTGGGTTCATTCGCAGACGAGATGTTTCACCCCATGCGTGCAACTGTCGGAGATAGGCGACTGTCGGCTCTCAGTTCACCTCGAAGCATCCCAGACCTTCCATGCCAAAGGCATTCAAAGACCCGAGACCTGTAAAGATAGCACAGCATAGACCTGTGCCGCTTGGCCCCGATCACCGGAAGATCACATGTTCATTTGCGGTGCTTCGTGGTCCGCACTGAGTGTCCGCATCGTCTCCGCATCCTGCCGGTTCGACTCCAGGATCTGCTGCTCTTCGTCCGGATCGTGAAGCTGGAGCGTCCGGATTTGCCGCGCATCAAGCGGTCGTGTGACCTCATCCAACAGCAGCTGCTCGCTCTCGGGTCAGCGCCGGGTCGTTGTGAGTTCGGACCCGGCAGTTCCAGGTGATTGGGCGATGTCTTTTTTCCATATCCTGAGGGAAATGGACAGCAACTGGGAGTTCCATGTTGGGCTTTTGGACATCTGAGTGGATCACATTCACCGCATAGGGCCCCTGACAATCTATGATTATGAACGATGTACAGTATCCCTCTTGAACCTTTGGAATAATCGGGTTTTGTATGATGTTTTCCCTTCCGAGGTGGGAGAAGGACCAGGATAAGCTGGGCCCTTCCGCATACTCTGGTCCAGCGGGCCCTGTTGAACTTCAATGCTTGTTCAACGAAGGATATCTTACCACGGTTTGTCCTTTGGCTCATAATGTGTCACCAAGGAGTATTGTGTCTCTCCATTTCTATGGTTGCATCTCTTAGACTCTAAGACGGGTGCTTTTTTTCGAGCCTGACACCATCAATTCATTCGATTCGTATTTTCCGACTGTAATTTCCGCGCCACTCCTGTGCATGAAAGGAATCCCGAAGATACTTTCCAGGACATCAGCTTGCCAGATGTCTACGGTCTACTTCACATTTTTTGCCTCGTTTCTTTTCGTCCACTCGGACTTGCGAGGAACGAGTTCAAAGTGGCAGATTTGGAAGCCTATCTCTTAGGGAAGCTGGCGGGAGCTGATAGCGACATCCTGGAGGCACCGCACGACGCGGAGTGGTGGGCAGATGCGGATAATGCTATTTGTGTTGGCGCGGTCGGGGCTGTTTTGGGTGCGGTGTGTGTATAGTATACCAGGTGTTCCATGGTCAGTGGTGCGGGCACGGAAGCTCATACAGTGTGAGAAGGGAGGAACCAAATTGACATTAATCAAGAACATCTATTAATTCAGTATCTAATTTATCTAATGCCATGTAGTGATCAGAATGTTGATGAATGAAAAAGCCCACATGGAGTTGTTGTAGAACCTCTTCAGGCCTGAGAACCAACCGTTTACATGCCACCTTAATCAACTATATTTTCACCGAAAAAATCGATGTAACACCATGATGTTCAATGAAATCTATGGGATTTCCTGTGCACCTTCCCTTCAACATATTTAGACCAATAATTCTTAAGGGAAAAAACAGTTGAACAAACATTACTAAATTCAACTTTTATCCCCCCACGGCGGACGAAGTCAGGGTCACAGGTCGTTGGATGAGATGTGCCAGTTGGAATCAAGTGGACAGACGGTGGATAAATCAAGGACAAAGAACCCTATGTACCACAATGGCCTTACATCTCCATATAGAAGGTTTTTCTTGAAAAGCTAAACGCAACATAGGATATGTTTGGAGCATAGAAGGGACAGCACGACATAATGCCTCAGACTTTTTTCCTTTTTTTCGATACTATACCAGCGATAGCCCCAGATGAACGTCCCATCTATCAAGCTGCACAGGTTTGATCCCAAATGTCATCAACTCACTTAGCACCAGCGCTGTCTTGATTTGTATTTCGCCAGTTGTGGGGAAATGCCCGTAATCGCTTCGAACGGCTCCCGCTTGAATGAGGATTGTGGACCCCCCAGCAACCCTCAGTTGCTTCCTTCTGACCAACTAGTTATGAAACTGGGATCGGAAGGCTCAGAAGGAAGATGACATCTCATCTCAGAAGCTACTAGTGGATCCACTCAGTTGATGGGTGTCCGAGCTGGTGATTCGTGAGGACACCGAGCTGGTCTTTGGATTGGAGGATGCCAAGTTTACCTCGGATGAAGTGAAAGAGAAGGCCTTCGATGATGGACGGGGGTGTCAGGGTACGTCAGGGTGCTCGCAACAGACTCGTTGGGAAGATCAACAAAAGTGGACTGTTGATGCATTTTGTAGTTTTGGAGATTCCCTGGCACCCTTGATGCCGGCAGCTAGTAGTACCATCATCTTCCGGGTATATCATCAGTGCCACAAACATCAGCAGCTTCTTCTACCCATCGTAGCAACAATTCCGTGCCGAGCCTCACGGAAGTTCCGTGGCTGGCGACGGATTTCGTGCCAAGTCGACGGATCTCACCAGTGAAGCATCACATTGCACTGGATATCCAAGGGGGCCCAGGCATGTTCAACATGTGGAACATGTGTGACGGGCGAAAGACCTCAATGACTCATTGGTTCATTTGTATTGGACTGGTTGCATGTGAGATTGCTGTGAGACGCTACCATTGGCTTGCCTTTGCATGGAGGAGGGGGCATGGAGAAACACACCTACGTTTATACTTCTCAATTAAGACACACACACACACACACACTTAGGATAGGGTGTACTGAACTGAAAGCGGTGCCACTCGCCGGCCTAGGTTAGTTATAAGGCCTGAGGTGCCAGGAAATAGTAGGTTACGGTTTTGGGTTGGAGGTCAACGCGAGGCTGTTGGGGCCAAGACCTAAGGTTGGAGGCCATCGCTAGTAGGCGGTGGACCATAGACACAAAGTGACAGCAAAAGCAAAGTTGGAGGTCATCGCTAGTAGGTTGGAGGCCAGGGTACCAAGTTGGAGGCCAGCGCTACCAGGTTACAAAGCACAAGAAAAACCACAAGACAGTCAAAGTTGGAGGTCCTTGCTAGTGGGTAGAGGCCAGGGTGCCAAGTTGGAGGCCAGTGCTACAAGGTTACAAGAAGCACAAAAGCACAAGAAGCACAAGACAGCAAAACAGCGAGTTGGGGGTCAATCTAGTGGGTAGAGGCCAAAGTTCAAGTTAAAGAGCCCCTTACAAAGTTTGGAGGCCTACCTGCAAACCTGTACAGTAGCCTAGAGGAAAACAGAAGGAAAGGCACCGAGGCAAGGCACATGTGCACGCAAAAGGGACAGATGAAAATGAAAAGGACGAGACAGACAAAGGTGTGTGTGGTTGCCGATGAAAAAGAACCAAGTGAAGAGGGACAACCGATGAACCAAACCTCATTGTAACGAACCTGGGCCACCTGAACCTCGTTGTAAGTAGAGTACGCGTGCGTGTATGTGTGCAAACTAAGGTCCGGACGAAAGTACGCGCAAGAGAACGAAAGGATGAGGATGAAGAGACATGAAGACAGAAAGACATGAAAGAAAAGAAGGAAAAACATGTCGGTGGAGGCCGATGAAAGGGGAAACAAACCGATGACAGCCCAAACCTCCTTAGTAAAACCTGTTGCAGAGGCCTAGTTTGCTTGTAAACACGCCGCGCGCGAGGAAAGAGGGGGGAGGGGAGGAGGAAAAGAGAAGGAGGGAGAGAAGGAAGCAGGTGTTCCCAGCTACGACGCAAGCGTCCAAGGACACACCAAAAAGGAAGGGTTCCCAGCTATGACGAAGCATCCAGGGACACTGAAGGAAGAGGGTGAAGAGAGGAAAGAGAGAAGGAAAGAAAGAGAGAGGGAGAGAAAGGGAGAGGAGAGAAAGGAAGGTGTTCCCAGCTACGAACAATCGTCCAGGGACACACCAAAGAAAGAGAGGGGAGATCCTGAGAATTCCATTCAGGAAAACCCCCGAAAGCAAAGAAAGAAAGGGGGAGTTGACAGGTTCCAATGAACCTTAAACTTGCTTTGACCGCTATGGTCACCTTGTGCCCTGCCGAAATGGCTGGCTGCTTTGACCGCTGCGGTCACGTAGAGGCATGAGCCAACTTGGAATTCCAAAAATGAGACAAATATCTGAGTTCTCTCGGCCTAGGCCACCTACGCTCGCTGCGAGCTGCTCTGTATCCGGGCAATGCATACGTTCGACAAACGCCCGTTCGACGGGTCCACGGGAGGCACTCTGCGGGCTCATCCCGGGTTGGCACAAGGCCAAAAACACTTAGAATAGGGTGTACTGAACTGAAAGCGGTGCCACTCGCCGGCCTAGGTTAGTTATAAGGCCTGAGGTGCCAGGAAATAGTAGGTTAAAGGCCTGGCAGCCCACTGCGTGTTAGGCATCGCCGGATCACCAGCGTAATCAATGGTTTTCGGTAAGCACCTACCACTAGGTAGGGATTATCTTGCAGCTGGTCTTTGGTCGTGCGGTAGCCTAAACCAGCATTGAGTGGTGTATGATGAGTGATGTATGATGAGTCTTGTATGATGAGGGGTGTATGACGAGTGGTGTATGATGAGTGGTGTATGTTGAGTGGTGTATGATGAGTGGGCAGCGAGAGATGACTCAGCAATGAGAGATGACTCAGCAACCACAGATGACTCAGCAGCGAGGGACGACTCAGTCGCGAGAGATGACTCAGCAGCGACAGATGACTCAGTCGCGAGAGATGACTCAGCAGCGGGAAATGACTCAGCAGCGAGAGATGACTCAGCAGTGAGAGATGACTCAGCAGGGAGAGATGACTCAGGAGCGAGAGATGACTCAGCAGCGATAGATAACTCAGCAGTGAGAGATGACTCAGCAGCGAGAGATGACTCAGCAGCGAGAGATGACTCAGTCGCAAGAGATGACTCCTCCGCGCACTAAAGTTGTACTGCAAAATGGCCAATTCTCAGCTTCCAGCTCCACAGGTTGCTCCGCATACTAAAGTTGTACTACATAGTCGCCAGTTCTCACCCTCCCCCCAGATACTCCGCGTACTAAAGTTGTACTACAAAGTGGCCAGTTCTCAGCTTCTAGCTGCACAGGTTGCTCCGCGTACTACAGTTGTACTACAAAGTCGCCAGTTCTCAGCCTCCAGCTCCCCAGTCACTCCGCGTACTAAAGTTGTACTACAAAGTCGCCAGTTCTCAGCGTCCAGCTCGACAGGTTTCTCCGCGTACTAAAGTTGTACTACAACGTCGCCAGTTTGCTCCGCGTACTAAAGTTGCACTAGAAAGTCGCCAGTTCTCAGCTTCCAGCTCTACAGATTGCTCCGCGTACTAAAGTTGTACTACAAAGTCGCCAGCTTCCAGCTCTACAGATTGCTCCTCGTACTAAAGTTGTGCTAGAAAGTCGCCAGTTCTCAGCTTCCAGCTCTACAGATTGCTCCGCGTAC